GAAGTCCTGACAAAGAAAATAATAGAGTCTATGTAAGTTCTGGAGGAAATCACGGTGCTATGTAGCTAACACGTGCAAATGAAATGAGAGACACAGTCTTGTGTTTGTGGAGATGTCCTGAATTAGTGCATGATGCAGCCAGCATTGTGTAACAGAGCACAGAACATTGTGTTCACCTGGCCAAAAGCAGGAAAAACTGTCCTTATGTAAAGCAGAATTAAGTGTAACTGCAGCAGTCATGAAGCTGTCTGTTTTGTAGCCCTGATTTGTACAGAGTGAAATACTTTGAATAAACGGTTATGTCCTCATTGTTACACATGTGGGTTCCCCAGAGAAGGTCCTCAAGTGTGACCAACAGTGCTCAAGTTTGGTGGAAAACACAGGGTTAGAACTAAAGTAATGGAAGTAGTCAAGGAAAAGACAATTGGATAGGCAAAAAGCTGGAATGTGCATCCTGGAATACAGTTCCAGGCTAGCACAGTGCATGAAGATGTTCACTGGTCTTCTGCATTTAGCAGTTGTGATTGCAGAACTGTAATTTAACTGACACTCCATCCCTTCTAGGAGCCGTCCTTCTATGGAGCTGGTGCTTTGGAAACCACTTCCTGAATTTCTCACAGATAAACTGAAGCCTGTTTCTGTTAAGAACTTCAGGCAGCAAGGTACTGAAGGGTGTCAAGCTAAGCAGTCAACACCAAGAGCTGCTTTTGTCCCACAGACTGAAACATTCCCTGAATCACAACAGACTGCCATGTCTCCAGATCCATATGCTAGTTTGGGAACCTCTGGATGTGCGGAAGAAGAAATGGAGCTGTAGATGCCAAATTGTAGACTGAAAGTGGTGACCTTGTGATGGTTTTTTTTGTTGCTGTTGTTGTTATTTTGATACCTTCTTTTCTTCTGGTTTGTGTGAATCTGGAGTTTGGTTACGTTTTTTTGTTTTCTTAGTAGCAATTGTAAGAACATGGATTGGCCAGACACAACTTTGGGCGACGTTCTAAAAAGATAATTCTGGTCTGTTCAATATTCTCATTTTTACTGAGAAGGCAACCCAGAGGCCTTTGAAACAAGGAAGCAGCTTTCCATCTTTGTTAATGATGAAATTTCCTCCTAATGTCCTTGGAAAGGTTTAAAATCCAATTAACTGAATGTTACGGTGGCTTACGCCACGCTTGTCACTTACTGAGCCATTCAGACCGGTGCATACGCTATGCTTGGTCAGTTACTTTTATTCACATTAGAGAAAGGTATTGAAAGGAAGACAAACTCCTGAGCAGTCAGAGACAGGAAAGTCACCCCTGTAGAAATACAGCTCTTCACACAATTGCTGTTTCATCTGCAGCTTGCACTTGATGTTAACTCCAATTGAAATGATACGTTGTGCAGCTTGGTAAGGAAGGAATGTTATGGCCCAGCAGAACCGTCCTGCTTTGTGGAAAGTAAAACTGGCTACTAACTTGGAAGGTATCTAACTACAGTCCTCTTTGGTTTATGGTCTCATAAATGTGGGGTTTTTAATGCCCCTCCTCTCCAGATGGCACAAAGTCTAGAGAGAAGTGGTTCCCAAGCCAACTGATGCACATTGGACATCTGATGTGAGTCTTTGTAAGCACTGAGCCAGGAGGTCGCTTCAAGGCAGCGAAACTTGATTAAATAAGAAATGTCCTTTAATTTTGCTATAGGTGGTATGGATCAGATAGAGGGAGCTGATTTTCTGAGGTAAAGGATGCCAAGGTAAATAAGTCCCAGACTTTGGATCGCTGACAGTGATGGTGAAGAAGATGCTTGTTGTTTGCATGAGGCAACCCGGATTTATGGGCTAAGCTAGAACATGCCATTAACATGATGCCACATAGTTTATACAGATACATGCCAAAATAATTTTGTATCCTGCTTAGGGTGTTGAGGAATCCTCAGTGCACTATGGCTCACAGCTTTTCTCCATGCACACTACTTCTATTACACTCAAACAAGGTACAGAACATCATCTTCTAGTCTGGAGTCCTCAGCCTTTTCCAGAGAAACTAAAATTGAGGCTTTTCTTGAGAAAAATTCCTTTCCAAGTAATTTCCAAGTAATTCTGTCTCTACATCCCAGTCTGTATTTGACATCCTGCTAGCATGAAGGAGCAAGTACACTGACCTCAGTAATGCAGCTGTCTGCATAAATTATTAATCCTGTGCACAGCTAATTGATAATCCTTGTGGGTTTTTTAAATGTTTAAATAAGTCAGTTGACTTTGATTTTAAACTTCTGCTTTTGCAGTCATTCTTTTTTGGCTCGGAACAGCAGCCTTCTTGGAAAGTTATCCCTGTTAGTTAAATCCTATGTATATCTTGCTCTTCTTGTTGAAGGTTTTCTGACATTTGCTGTCTCTGGCTAAAATATTTCAGAGCTTCACTAAAAACATTCCAACGTTTGAATAGGTATTATGCTGAAAACTGCTATCTAAGTTACATTCTGGGACTTTGGAGAGCGTGTGCAGCTTTTTCTTGCTCTTATATCTATTTCAGAGTTACAAATCTCTTGCATGTAATGTGTAAAATTTCTTATGTATTATTATACTGTTGAACTTGCTTAAAATGTACAGCCTTTGACCTGCTGCTACATGGCTTGAGTATAAAGTAATGCAGCTTGGGGCAGGCTGTAGTCATTGCGGGTAGCAAACGTGGTGCCTCTAAATATCTATTTTTTTGAGGTTGCAGGGTTGTATGAAAGCTCAAGATTGGGACTGACTTAGCTGATAGCTCTGATGCTAAATAAATGGAAAAGGAAGGATAACAATTCCAAAAACGTGATGAAAACATCAAATTTTGGCATAGGGTACAAAAAAACTGAGAAGCCGAAATGTGAGATCCAGACAGCTTCCTCCCTACTCAAAATACTGAATGGGCAAATGGTCCATCAAATTAACAAGCACTGACCTCTGTTATTCTGCCATTGAAAGAATCTACTGGCAGACTATTGACAAAGACATGAGATAGAGAAGAACTGCATCCAGTGCATTTGCTTTAGATTTATTTTAAAATTTGTCTGAGTTATTTATGCTGTTACTAGGAGAGAAGAGGGCTGAAGTGCTTCAGTTGGCAGGGGAGGTAAAGAGCAGGGGTAGAAGTAGGAACCAGTTATTTAGGACTGAACCAAATCATCGCTCTAGTAACTGGTGAGGACAAACTACCAGGGACTTTCACACTTCTGTATTTGTAAGAGTTTGATTTGTTGTTGCCTTCCTTCAGAGACTTTATTAACTCTGTTTGTGAGGAAGATAGAAACATGATGCAGTATTAGGAAAAAGTGGAAAAAGTTTTATTTTGAAATATGGAAGATCTGATTTTGGTCTGTCTGCTCCTGGGGCCAAATCACCATTTGTATGTGAGTTTTTCAATAAATTTTCTGAAGTATTTTTAGATGGTGCAATTAATCCTTAATAGTATGAACAACATCAAAGCAGTACGGTAACCAGGTACACCAGGTACACCAGGTACACCAGGTACACCAGGTACACCAGGTACACCCTCACTAGACTCGTCTGGTAGATGTTAGTGCTGGCAAAAATCCTGAGCTCTCTGAAGCTTCCAGATACCCAACATGAAATGTGTGCTTTCTGGGGAGCAAGCCCAGTAAATCCCACCAGCCTGTATCAGAACCCACACTGACAATAAGCCTCAATAAGCCGTGCCATGAAACACCTACAGCTGCGAAGACGAAAAGAGGGAACGAGATGGCATAAGCAGTGCTCCACTTTTGTCTGCTCTGTCCTAACAAATTTTGGGTGTAAATTTAAACTGTCCCTTTCCAAATGCGATGGGAATGTGAGCAGTGGACACCAAGTTCTTAAAAGCCTAACATTTGTGGCTCATTGAGATGTGTTTCGATCTCTGCACTAAGTGGAAATAACAAGCAGTCCATATCCATGTCACTGGGTGGCAGTGTTGCTGCTACTTTAATTAAGTTAATTAAGCTGTGCAGTAACAGAGTTAAAGCTGTACTCAACAGCAAGTACTGAGTACTGTTTACTTCATTTCACATGACCTTTGCAGTTCATCCCATGGATATTCACTAACAGTACTGCAACTGCTGAAGCATCATAGGTCAGCACAGGTCCAGCCTCCAGAGATCAATCAGAAGAGCAGCTACAGGCACCTATGCAGCTTGAGGTACAACAAGCACAGAAAGACCCACTGTCCAGAAACACCTACAGAGTTCAAAGCTGCCCAGACAGTCCCTCCCCCCCCACTGACATACAAGGCAAGAAATGAGCTGCATTGCACTTTAATTGCACCAATATAGTTAAATAAAATGGAGAAAGCAACTCTACATAGCCAACAGAAAACAAGCATTTACACAGTAAATCTGTAAAATGTACAGACCATTTAGTTTTAACCCAGCTGTCTAAACACAGATGTCCCAATGAAGCTTTTAGAGCTAAAGAAGAGTACTTTGATTTTCAGGTTCGTTCTGAATTGCCAAGTTATTGAGAAATCAAGTTTTTCTCCTAAGAGAACACCGAATGGGAGCAGTGAGGGGACAAAAACACCCTGTTTTTTTTTTTCTTCTTACCAGTAGAAATGAATGGCCATCACTACATCTACCAGCATTCATAGGAAGAAATAAGCAACGCTTTTCTGCATACAATCAATTTCACCCTCTCCACCCCCAGAAGGGCATATCCTGTTACCCTGCCAGGAGATAACCAGGGACAATTAACACTACCAAGTTAGACACTGATCAGTTGAGGAAAGAGTTCACTGGCAAAGCTATCCTCCCAAGTATGGTCAGCGTCAAGAGGAGAGGGCATGTCACTGAAGGGTGACAGGGATCCTTCATATCCAGAGTCACTACCAGCATCCAGCAGATAGCTTGAGGCTGCAAAGCTATGATGAGAGGGAAGCAGATGAGAGATACCCAGCTCAGGCATTAAGCTGTCTACAGGCTCCTCTTTCACAGATACTGGGACCTCAGCAATAGCTTTGTCTTCAGGCGGAGAGAGAGACACTTCCTCAATTTTCACAAGCATATTGGTTTCATTGCCCATCTTAACAGGAAACTCCAGCATTAAGGGTTTTGTGTACACATGATCAAACCTTATGAGTTCATTAATGGCCTCCAGCTTAGCTGATGGGGACCCCAGAGAGGGAGAGGGGGAGGTTGGTATGGAATTTGTTTCTCCACACATCTCTTCCTCCAGCTTCTCCAGGCTGGGTGATTCTGAATCAGCACATTTGAGAAACATTTCTGGGTCCAGAACGTCCAGTAATCCGAACAGGAGATCAGACTGCAGAATAAAAGACTGTTTTAGAAAGACAGCTTACCACTGTAACATAACACATTCACTGTGGCATAAGTTCACCTTCATCTGAAAAGACAGATACACAAACATCACCACACAACCGCAGTTTTACCAAGAGCAACTGTCAGTTCCTGATACTGGTAAGACAGTCACTGATCTACTTTGTTCATTAACTCTAGGGAGTAGAGATTTCTTAACTCCACACTGACTGCATATTAATACATCCTCAGTATCTTCAGACTCTTCACATACCAACACCACAGTACTTACTGGCTCTAAAGAGTTCAAGAACCAGGCACAGGCAGATCTGCCCGTGACCAGAAGTATGGAAGTTCTCAGAGTCTTCAGGATAGGAAGAAATCCATACCCGATTATCTTCAAGCTCCAACTAAGTGTAGTCATCAACAACCAAGCTTGTTTTCAAGAAGTTACAGTATGTTGTCAGCATTTGTATGCGTTTGCTGTATAAGCTAGAAGACTGTCCAGGCAGTATTTTTTAAAGAGTAACAGAAACTGAACTTGTTGAAATTGCATTAACATCTCCTGGACTCATAGGGTCCCATTAGGACTTGAACCACAAGTAGGGTATTCCAAAGCTTAATAAACAAACCGTCAAAGATCAGAGACTTCATATGAAAAAGCTTTGAAGCAAGTTCTTAGACTACTCAGGACAGGAGCAGCTGCTCACCTCAGAATCTGAAGAGTCACTGCCATCAGAATCCATGTGGAGGTTGTCAGAAATGGTGACAGCTGGGCCTGCACCTGCTGCAGAGGAACACGTAGTCTGAGTGCTGCGGACTCAGCGGACCCGGTCACCAACCTGATGTCATCCACCTGGGATTCCTTCACAAGCTGCACGAGGAAAAAGCCCCATCAGTCACAAGCGTTCTGGCAGGCAAGACAGCACCCTCAAGATCATGCACTTCTGCAAACACTTCCATTAGGTTCTTTGCTTATTGTGCAATGTTTGATAAAGTGAAACCACTTTCTACAGTGGCTCAAGCCTCCCCACCCCTGGAAATCCACCTTGCTCACCACTGCTGTTTTGAGACATGCACAGGTGACTGGAACTGCTTTCTTTCCATCCCTGGAGGTGCCCGAGGCCACGGATGGGCCCTGGGCAGCCAGCTGAAGTGAGTCTGGCTGATCTTTACAGTTCCCCCCCGAGCTCAACCGCTATACGTTCCTACACGACGCACAGAACAGCCACGCACCCAGCCGCCGCTCCTCGCCGCACACAGCGCCTGCTCAGCACCCAGCCGCTCCCGGCAGCTCCGCTCCGCCCCACGGCGACCTCGAGGACCGGCACCGCCGGACTCTGCCCCGCCGGGGGCTGCGGGCACTCACCGTAGACTCGCACTCTGGCTCCGTTTTCAAAGCGTCCAAGCCCAGGCGGCAGCGGAGCTCCTGGTTCTCCAAGGAGAGGCTGCCTGTCTGTTCCCGCAGCCGTTGGTTCTCCCTCAGCAACCGTTGGTTCTGCGGATACCGGCGCGCGGTCAGATCGCGTCCCGCAGCCGCCCCGCATCCCCCGGCCCGGCGCTCACCTCCTCCTCCAGCTCCACCACCTGTTGCTCCAGCTCCGTCATCCGCGCTTTCTTCCTGTCCCTGGCGCTTTGAGCCGCCACGCGGTTCTTCAGCTTCCTGCGGGGCGCATTGGGGGCACGTTGCGGACACACTGCGGTCACGGTCGGCGGCTCCGCAGCCCCCCCCCCCCCCACCCCCCCCCCCCCCCCCCCCCCCCTCCCCTGCGCAGCGCCTTCTCCTCGGGGCTCAGGTGGGTGAGGCGCTGCCGCTTGCGGGCCGGCGGCGGAGCCTCCGCGGAGCCGGGAGCCGCCCCCGCGGGCAGCACAACGGACAGGCGGCGGCCTGCTGCGGATTCGGCAGCATCGCCGGGAAAAAGAAGCAGCCGCGGGGCTCCGCGCAGCGCCGCCATCACCGCTCCGCCGGTACAGATCGAGCGGCACTCCGCCGGCACGGCCGCCCCGCCCGGATTTCTACGGTCGTGGCTCTCCCTGATTGGCCGGGACGGAGTGACGTGCGGCGCCGCGAGGGCAGCGATTGGCTGCGGCAGGGAGCGAGGCCGGGGCGGATTGCATCAGACTGTGGGGGAGGGGTTGGCGCGTGGCGGGGTTGGGGGCGGCGTGCGGGGTTTTGTGAGGTGCTCAGTAAAAGCCGACCGCCGCTGCACGGGGTGCTGGTGTGCGCTTCGACTGTAAGGGGGGCTGTTCTCACGTGCGCTGTTAACATCTGGTATAAGGGAGGCGCGGACCCGGCAGTCCAGCCTTGTTGGAAATGGAAAAGAGGAGTTCAATTAAGCTGGCCTTGAGCTGAGACTCGCTTTCACCGGCACTGCCCCGTCCATGGAGGTGCCCGAGGCCATGGATGGTCATGCATGCTGGGGCAGCCAGCATATGGCGGGGCGGGGGGGGGGGGGGGTCTCTGAGATCCTCTCTAACATCTGTGATTCTGTGATTGCAGAATGCTTTAATTCTGATTTCTGCCTTTTTGGTTTTCTTTTGCTTTGCCAGCTTGCTGTTCACACATTCCTCTTCTTTATATATATATATGTATATTATATATACGTATATATATTCAGTTATTGCATTCAAGCCTGTGATCCACATATCAGTGATTACTTCAGAGGGATTCTTACCAGACTTGTAGAAATATCACAGAATAGCCAGGGATGGAAGGGACCCCCAAAGGCCGTCTGCTCCCACTGCCTGCAGTGCACAGGGACACCACAGCTCCAGCAGTGCTCACAGCCCCGTGCCCTGAGCAGGGATGGGGCAGCACCAGCTCTCTGGGCACCCTGTGCAGTGCCTCACTGCCCCGTTGTAAACAAGTTCTCCCTTGTATCCAATCTAAATCTCCCTTCTTTTAGTTTGAAACCATTTCCCCTTCTGCTATCACACGGATCCTGCTAAGGGCCCTACCCCTTCTTTCCTACAGCCCCTCTTTAGATCTGTAGTTTATCACCACGATCTGAGGATGTGCCAATGAGGATACTGTTGGCTGTCCTGCCAGAAACAACATTAGTTCCTGCCAACAGCTTTTATGTGGTGTGTTCCAGGTGGCCGACCTACCAAAGGAAATTGTTCTGTTTAACAAAGGTGGAGAGGCTTTCCCCTTGTGTAACATCAGATAGGGAAAGAAACATGAGTCGAATGTTATCTACATGTGAAAAAGGGGGCACAGAGGAGGTAAAGAAAATGAGAGTATACAGAGAAAAGATAATTTGACTAATAGACTTAGTCTGAGAAAGAACATGTTTGCCCAGTGTGTGTCTAGAAACACTTGGAAAGTGGCCTAGGGCCTCCAGCTCATGTCAACAGCTGGCATATTCCCAGATCTGTTTCAGTAGCTGATTAAAGAGAAAGGAAACTGTTCTGCAGCCCAAAGCAAGGTTATTCCGAACTTGTAATGTTTGTAATTATCTTTCTGTTCGTTTTACTTATTCTTACATTCCGTCAACACACGCTGAGATGGAAGAGTGCATCTCTCAAAATATGAGTCCTCTCTGTCTTCAGGTGAAAAATCACCATTGCCTTTCTAAAGGAGACTGCTAATCTGGCTGCTGAGTTTGTTGTCAGCTGGGCAGGGAACACTTCAGCCCTATGCCTAAGTTTGCTGGAGTAGCACTGGTAGCACTGTTACTGGAAGATGCCTCATTTTAACATCTTTCCAGATTTGATTAAGCTCTTAACCCTAGAAAAGAACGGAGTTGTGTGCTGTGAGTGCTCTTTAGAAGTGCTGTTGCTGGAGAGGAATTGTGTCCACCTATACACATGGATACATGATGGTATGTTTGTGGTGGTAATTACAAGCAAAAGGAAAAAGCAGTGTACTCGCATGAGATGGAAACTATGAGTGCAGCTTTAGGGGAATGTTGCAGAATGAGTTTGGGCAATACAAGAGAGGGAACTTGTTATTGCCCTGCTGTCCTGTTGAGCTGACAGCTTGTGTTTTCATTCTCAGTAAATATTTGATGTGTTGAGTGAGCTCTGAGGAGAGCAGCCAGCTGTTGAACTCTCACACACCTAAAAGCTCCTGTTCCAGTAAATTCTCCTGTTTGCACATCCTGATTCAGAACTGGAGCCTCTTCTTGGAAAATGCTCCAGGAAGTAAACAACTGCACTCAGTAAAACCTGATGGCTGCCTCCTGCTGGTAAGGCCTCGCACTGGGGCAGTGCCTCCTTCTGACAGAAAACAGCTTCTGCTATTTCTTAGGCTTCACTCCCTGCATTTTGAGATTCCCCTGGAAATTCATAGGCTCTGAGAGTCCTGGCAGCTTTCTTGTTTTGTCAGGGCACAGGGCTGTGAGCACTGATGGAGCTGTGGGTGTCCCTGTGCATTGCAGGCAATGGGAACACATGGCCCTTGGGGGTCCCTTCCCAAACCCTTCTGTGAATCTATGATTCTACTTCTGGCAGAATGAAGAGTTTCCAAGGACCAGTCTGGATGTTCATCCTGTTTCCACTTGTCCTTACAGAATGTGGTATATAGTAACCATTTCTTTATTTCTTAGTGCTCTTTTCTTTTTCTTTGCTTCCATGTGCTGCTGCGCCCACGTTTTGAGGTGGGCCCTGAAGGCTCACTACACGGTGCATATCTGTCCTGTCTTGCATCTCTCACGTCAGCTTGTACTGCACATCAGACAGGAGTTTGCAGTGACATTCGAGTGCACAAAACAAAAGGCCGTGGGAGACATCTTTAACTGGAACGAATGTCTCCGGAGAAGTCTTGTCTGGTGTCGCACCTTCCTGGGGCGTTCTCCGGGGGCAGAGCAGCTCCTCGGGTACGGGAGGACATCTGCTGGCTGCTGTGCCGCGGTGCAGCCGCGACCGGAGGCGGTGCGATGGGAGAGAAGGGTCCGAATTTCGTTTAAGGATTACTTCAATGCAAAACAACCTTCTCGCTCAGATAAGAGTCCAGGAAGCCTCCCTGGTCATCAGAAGAACCTTCTGCTGCTGGTGTTCAATTGCTTCTGATAGCCATGTTAAGCTAAGGTAGATGTTAGTGTGCTGCATAGCATGAAGATGGTATGTCCTGAATTCCACTATGGTTATTTAATATACAAGGGGGGACCTCTGAAACACTAACTTAAATTTGAGTATCAGAACAGCCCAGGATTCCAAACTAAATACTAAATGAATATCTGCATTGTAGGAGGAAGATGTTAAGTCAACAAGACTCTTCTCCTCTCCTCTCCTCTCCTCTCCTCTCCTCTCCTCTCCTCTCCTC